ATGCCGAAATAAGATTTGCATAAAATAAATGTCAAAACCATATCCGAAAGTCAGGTAGTAATGAAACTGTGCATACAGTTGAGAAACTTATATAAAATGTCACAGTTTTTATAATATTATACTAGGACATAGAGAGTCAGCGGCATTATGAATAAAATTATCATGCTTGTAGAAAACTTATTAAAGCCGAAAATCGTGAAAAGTAGTCAAGGACTCACTGCTAGCAGCGCTTGTATTTTTAAGTAAGTTTTCAGTGTTACCTCTTGACTGAGGTCTTCCCCTGATCTCAGAAATCTTTAACATGTCCTAAGAAACTGAGCTCGTGCGTTTGATAATGGCTGGACGTAGCAAGTGGTGTGACGCTTGACTGATGCGCCACGTTGACTGTTGTCAAATGATGATGATGCAGTGAATGATGAGAAGTATGGGTGTGAAGAATGTTATTTGGATGGGGAACTTGGAAGTTCCCTGGTGGCGGGGCTCAGGACAGGAGAGGACCTGGATGTCCACCAGAAAGGACAGACGATGCTGTAACAGCTGTAGTCTGCATATTCGAAACACTGTTTTGTTGTTGACTTTGCTGGGTACCTAATTAATTAAAAAGTTACATTACGTACACGAAATATTTCCCTTGTACTATTAAGAATTTATATAGAGATCAACGATAAGAAAAGTAAAAAGTCTTACCAGCATTCTGGCTAAGCTCAGCTTTCACTCTTCTTGCAATATGACTTCTAGTATGTTTTCTTAAATGATCTTTACGATAGAATCCTTTTCCACATTCGGTGCACACATGACGCTTCTCTCCAGAATGTATAACAAAATGCAGGGTTAATTGTTCTTTTCTTTTAAACGCTTTGAAGCAGACTGTACAGACGTACGGTCGTTCTGGATTATGACTCTGTTTATGACGTGTAAGATGATCTTTTCTTTTTAGTCCGGCACCACAAATATCGCAAACAAATCTCCGTTCCAAAGTGTGGCCTAGCAAATGCTGTTCCAATAATTCACGTTCAGGGTATGCCATGTGACATTCTGGACAGCAATATAACGTAGAACCATCTAATGCTGTAGTTAAACGAATTTCACCAGGTTTCGGACGCGGCTTCTTTTCCTTAGGAGCCTTCTTCTTTTTTTTCTTTTTATTGTTCGGAGACATCATAATGTTAGGTGTTGTTGTGGTTGCTACGGCTACTGAAGTTGTTTGTGCCATTTCTGATTCTTTCTTAATACTCTCTGCAGAGTACTTTAAAAAATGATGTAAACTTAGCGGTAAAGTACTAGCCGGCAGATGACTGAGATAATCTGCCACTGTAGAACCAGGAGTGGCGAGAGATTGCCATGTAGCAGGCATAGTTGCAGGAGTTTGAGTATGAGCATGCTGTTGGTGATGCTGATGGACCGTATAATCTTGCTGGCTTCCACTAGTCGTGCTTTCTCCATTGCGTTGTTGTTCGTCTGACTTTTTGTCCTTATTCTTATCTTTATCCTGTAGGAGATTGCAAACGTCTTGTTGATTTATGGTTTCGGTCGCTTGCTGAAAACGTTAGATTACCGTAAAGTCTACATATGAAAATATTGAAAGGTACTCTCGCAGAGCGACCATTTACCTGATGATAAGAACGCTTTTCTTGCATTCCAGGCGAATTTGAGGGCCGCTGTTGCACCGGTTGGGCTTGGGAGTATGGCACGTTTGGATAATGATGAACATTGCTATTCGGATAGCTCGCTTTATTGTTCATCATTACTTGCGACTGAGTAGATTGAACGCCGTTGCTCTCAGGACGGTACTTTCCCATAACCGGCACTCCGATAGGAGGCTGGTTGGGAAAATGACTGGCGTAGCGCCCACCCGCACCGCCGGAGCCGTCGGTTGCGAACTGGTGGATGCTCGGAATAGTACCGGGAAAGTGGCCTCCGAACGGCGGAAAATTCATTGCAAACCGTCAATCAAATATCTAAAAAATCAAAGAATATTAGAGTTGATAATAGTATAGGGCAATATCACTTGGTCCTCTGGAAGTTTACAGGATAATTGCGGAAACGGTAGTTTGTCCGTCAACCGACGTCCTTCATCGTTTTGCCGATCATGGCAGTGCGGTGGAAACTGAGTGTATTATTATTACTAATAGAAGCTAACGGTGGTTAAACAAATCGTAAATGTCAGCCGGTAACATGTGCTCGAAAGGTACATTGCTGCCGCTCCGACAAACGCTGTGGTGTGTCGTCCGAACGAAGAGATTCAGTACGTATGGATAATTCGCAAGCGACATCGACGGTAATAATAAGGATATTCTCAGATATTCATGATACACCGCGACAAAGTAGGTACATATCTGTGGCGCGTCTTGCTTGAACGACGCCCGAGTATTTACTCACAGCGACGTCCCTCTCCCCATGTTTCTTTGCCGTGGAATCGAATCCTTTCCTCGGAGGGGGGGTCTCCAGGAGGTAAAACAGCAAGTGCAGGGGCAGATTTTTCCAGCACAAGGAAAGCACGACAAAAGCACGAATACCACGCCGTTCACTGCCGCCACTGCGTCAACCGTTTGTCACAATATGAAGGTACACACGAGAAAGAGTTGGTTTCCTTTCTTAAAACCGTTTAGCAGTTTCGAAACGCAAACCTCCGTAGGAATCGCCGAGCAACTATTCGCATTCGTCTAACGAGGATCCCGAACAGTTTAGATGGCTATAGAAAGGGGTACAACACGGAAAAAAGACGTTAAAAAACGAACATTGTACGCGGCCAGGATTGTCGCGATGCGGGGGAAGGGTGGCCGTAGAGGGACGGCAGCGCGAAGAACGGGAATCGGAGGATGGGAAGAATGAAGAAGAACGGGGCGGAGGGGGCAAGGAGAAAGACGCAGGGGGGATGATCCGGTCAGAGGGATGGGTAGCGAGCGTGCAGTGGGATGAAGTGCGAGGGGAGAGATCCCGAGACTTTCCCCTCTCAGCACCTAGTCGATATGCGGGGGCCGAATTCGCACGAAATTCAGCAGAAAATGGCCGTACTACGCGCCGAACAAGACGAGCCTCCGTTCACCGAGTCGAGAAATTCAGCAGAAAATCGACTTACCATTTAGTATGTAGCAGCCCACGCTCGCCTGGTCAGAATTTACACGAAACCAAGAATCTCCGAAAAAGATCCCCCGCTCTATGTATGTGCCGTTGACACCTGTCCCTCAAGTCGGCGCCCCCACCCCATCCGTCCGCCCTCTACTGTGCCAGCCTCTTAACTATTTTTTCTCTCTCCCGGTCCTCCACGCCAACCGCGCCGGCGAAAATGCCCGAATCCACCGGGGTTTTAACTTTGAATCGCTCCCGGCGACTTACCATTATTTTCTCTCTCTCGACACATTAGAACCAAAGAAAGCCGGAGGAATGTGTATCCTCTGAGAATCGCGAGGAGCACCATCAGTCGAAGGAAAAAGAAGTACATAACAGAGATGTTAACGAACAATAATCTTGCTATTCCCTTGTAATTGTCTATTCATTTAATTAACAATTAATCTTGATCGTTGGTTACAATAATTGTATTGTACTAAAATATAAGCATACCAACAGTTTCTAACGAACACGCGATAATCAATGCAATGGAAAATATGAATTTTCTTCCTTGTAAATGATTTTATTGATAAAATGAAAAATATAGCATGTTAAGAGTGTATATAATGCTTTATACCATAAATCAAATTTCGTGAATGTACAAAATATGAAGTTAAAAATGCTGATTAAATTCTTCCTGTACAAATGATTAGTCAGTGTAACTCATCTATTTAAAATATATTAAGTATACTTTAGTCCTTAATGATATTCCGTGATTAATAATTATACAAATTAAAAATATACGGATATATAATATAATACAAAAAGTAATTCTTATAATTGGTTAATTAATAGAAATTTGTTTATATTAAATGTATGTTTTATTTTAGCTTTTTTTCTCCAATATTTATGTAAGTAACAATGAAAATGACTTATAGACTATCCATACTGATTATGATAATAATAGCTATAATAATATGATAATAAAATAATAATTATATTTCTTGTACAGCTATACCCACTGCCTTTAGTAATGATACTTACAATAAAAAGTATTCTTTTCTTTGTATACATACATCTCTTGCTCAAACGATTTCGAGTGTACTGGAGATCGATCTGTAAAAATCAGATGGTTCGATCCCAAAAAATTATTTTTACTGTACTTTTGTCGTGCAATTTATGATAATATAAAAAATATCTGTCAATTACGATCAACACAAAGAAGAAGATTGCAAAGTCTTCTTGCAAAAGGATAATAGGATTAGCAATTAAAATCGGTTAAATATTGTACAAAGTAAAATATGCTAACTTATCAGAATTACAGAAGTATTAATTGGTTCTAGAAATGCTTCCCTTTCGCGAAATATCGAAATTTAAATGCACATCATTTTTATTATTTATCGTATATCATACTGACTTTAACTTTACGATATGCAAACTGATATATTTATGTATGTATATGATAATAATATAAAAATTTCTCTGTAACCAATCATTGTCTTCCCTTTTAACCTTTGAAAACGCAAGTCCATTGATTCAAATTAGCCTTATAGTCAATGAAGAAACTGAACATTCTCGTTTTCGAGGTATCAATTAATCTAAATTAAATACCAACCGATCAAATATGTTATTACAAATGCATAATTTTAGATTTGTCTTGTACAACGTAGCATTTCTGTTCAAACATTATTTGAATGTTATCGGTTAACATATACACTCTCTTTCTGTGTCTCGATCGTCTAGAATAAATGGAATAAATAGATTCACTTCATATTTGCACGACAGTCTTGTTCCTTCTTGTGCACGGTAAACTGGTTGTATTTACAGCCCTGCTTTGTGAATTACTCGTTACCTTTTACATTACGTATTTTTTTTCTCTTTCACCCCCTCCCGTTAATATTTATTATCGAAGAAAAATTAATTTCAGCCGAAAACTCGATTGCCTTCTGTCTGGCGAATCCAGTTCGCGCTTTCAAAAATATATTTTTATATATATATACATATATATATATATATGTATATATCTATATGTACATATCTATGTATATATGTATATATATGTATATATATGTATATATATATATGTATATATATATGTATATATAAACTCCTTTATTTAATTCTAACTTGCGTCATGGAACTGGATTAGCGACAAAAACATATAGAATTAAAACGAGTTAAGACTCGTCTCAACTTTTCTTTCCTCACACGTACGCTATAACGTGTACGCAAAAAAGAAACATCGCATGTGTACGAACTTCGTTCGTCAGTCAGCTCAGTGCGTTTTGCAGAATAATTGTTATCGTACATTAATCTGACCTACGACTTCCTTTAAAGAAGCTGATGGTGTACAAACTTTGAAATGCGACGGCTCGTCCAGTAAAAGTATCTTTATTTGAAGATACAGAGAAAGATCTCAATCGTTTTGCAACACCACTACTAGGCAACGATACCCACCATCAACGAATTTTTTCTTTACACAATACCAATTTGACTATGGGATTACAGAATTCAATCAGCAAGTACACCTTGCCTTGCACGACCTCTAGCCTGTTGATGATTAAATCGGAAGTACCGCCCAGGTTGATTTAGGGCGGTATGCTGCTGCTAATGCTGCTGCTGTTGTTGTTGCTGTTGTTGTTGTTGCTGCTGTTGTTGTTGTTGCTGCTGTTGTTGGTGATGAAGTATAACCATTGCACCAGTTTCAGCCGCAGTCGGAAGAACGACGGTAGACTGTTCGCTAACAGCTATTTGATGGATCTGAGCCTGAGAACCTTGCCCTACTTGTATCTGTATTTGTTGTAGCTCAGATACCGATGACTGCTGTTGCAACTGGTCTGCCTGTTGTTGCAATTGCTCGGCCTGTTGCTGCTGTTCTGTTTGCTGTTGGGAATTTTGGGAAGCATCAGCCGTGTTCAGGGGATCCTCCTTAATACGTTTAGCCAAATGAGACCTAGCATGCTTTCTCAAATGGTCCTTGCGGTAGAATGCTTTACCGCATTCGGTACAAACTTCGGTCTTCTGCCCAGAGTGTATAACAAAATGAAGATTCAAATGTTCTTTTCGTTTAAAACCTTTCATGCAAACAGAACAAATGAAGGGCCTATCTGGGTTGTGGCCCAATTTATGCCGTTCTAAGTGTTCTTTACGTTTCAAACCTGCACCACAAATGTCACATATGAATCTCCTCTCTATCTTATGTCCAATAAGATGCTGCTCTAGAAGTTCTTTTTCGGGATATGCCATGTTACATTGCGGACAACAAAATAGGGTTGCACCATCCAGGCCAGTCACTATGCTTACTTGACCTGGTTTTGGTTTCTTCGGTTTCGGGGGCTTTTTCTTGTACTTCTTTTTCCTCTTAGGCTTCGCGCCAGGCTCCTGTTCTTCAACAACATCAGGAATGATTGACGTTTCTCCGCCAGCAACTGTGATCTGCACAGCTTGCTCTCCCGATGCAGCGCTACCAGTCGCGTCCAAGCCATCAGCCCCTAAAGGACTGGATTCAATAGTGGCTTCCCTTTTTATTGTTTCTGCTGAGAATTTCAGGAAATGTTGTAAGCTAATGGGCAAGGTACTGGCAGGCAACCTGGATAGGTAATCAGCAACAGTTGATCCTGGCGTTGCAAGGCTTTGCCAGCTAGCAGGCATAGAAGTGATAAATTCTTCTCCACTCTGATTCCCCTGATTTTTAATGCTTCCTCTCTTTATAAGAGCTACCGGTGTTGTTCCTTCTTTTACATCTTCTTTTGATTCTTCCATACCCTCGCGTAAAATTAAGTCCTGCGGAATCTGCGCGACCACGGTTAATCCTTCTGGTGCACCGGGAAGCTGCACAGTTTGTTGAATAGTTTGTTGGGATGTAGTAGTGACTGCGGTGGATGTACTTTGGGTGGTCTGATCAGACCTAAAATTAAAAGACAAAATACTTTACTGATTTTGAAATGAAACAAAATATACAATTATTAAAAATTATAATAATTTCTTCCTACTAATCTGTAATATTACTAGACGTCTTCTCTGATAAAAAATATAAATATATTTTACTTATTGTACTTTATTTATACTATTAAATTATGTCATAGTCACTGACAAATGACAACTATTTTGCCAGTTAACATGTTTATAAACCAAACATTTTCTTTATAGTTTGAAATTCTTCATAGTACAATATATGTTTGCGGCAAAATACGCATGTCGTTGCAGTGACACCAATAGAATTATAGACTATGTTATAAATGTCATCCTAGCAGCGTTAACAAAGTGCAGAAGGTTAATAAGATATGTTCGAAACATAAACTTATTGCAACGTATGGTAATAACAAAAAAAAAGTTAGATTCAGTCAGAGATTAAAGAGCTTCCGAAAATAACTGTTTGAAACTGTTATACATCGGCTCCGACTAAAACAGTTATGGAAAACCGAAATAAAGTCATAACTGTTATTAGATATATGTGTCGGTGTTGGTTCCGGTTCTGGTTCCGATTCCGGTTCGATATTATATCGGTTCTATAACTATTGTTTTTCTGTATTTCGGTTCTGTGTTCTTTTCAGAACTGAAAAATAACAGTTATATAATCGATACCAAATCGATATTATATTCGAAAGAACCGGAATCGAAACCCATATAGCTCAGAACTGATGTACAATATCCGATAACAATAGTGACTCTGTTTCGGTTCTATATGACTGTTTCAACCTACATTTAATTTTTTAATTGTATACTTTGCTCAATTTGAGTCCTATTTGGATCCATTTTCATAGAAAAAAACCTAATGAATTTATTGATAACATTCTTAAAATTATTTAATATAAAAGATACTGAAAAATGTACTATTTAAACCACTATTAATTTATTAAATTTACTTTTCTTCTTCGGTAAGAGTTGCTATCACGAAATAAAATGACATATTGAGGTAGCCTGTACCAATAAATCATTCAAATATAAGCTAGCCACTAGTTCCAAATTCTGAAAGAAGTATCAATGTATATAAGGTGTCCAACAGACTATAGTATAACAAATGACATTTTATTTTAAATTAAACATGTAACACTCATCAGAATTATACAATAAATTATTTTATGTGATCGCATTCAAATTGCAAAAATTTGTTTAATCGTACAACCACTTGGTAGGTGATATTCATTTATGTAAATCAATTTTCTTACGTAGCATCATATAGTACAATAGTGTTATCATTGTATAAAGTAAATATACATTAATGTCGTCTGTTAAAAAATAATTAAAAATGTATCATATTAATTTTTGTTGGGTATAACTTGATTAGAAAAATCTAGAATAACAATTCTACATTTTGTTTATTAATGCTCTTAATATATCAAGGACGCACGTCACACATAAATCTATATACACATATACAGGATGTGCCGTTTAAGGGCACTCCTGTATGGTGATATATCTCGTAAAGTATTAAAGTTAGAAAAAAAATGTTCTCAAAAAAGTTGTTTGGTATGCAGCCCAAGTTACTTTTTTTGAATAGAATCATATATCATTTTTTCTACAGTGTAACAGTAGTATTTCTAAATCATAAATTAGAGCGATCGAAGACGACGCACCGCGTACCGTACATCGATGAGTGTATCGATTGTCGGTATGCATTTAACTAAGTAATATTTAAACATAGTTTAAGTAACATTTAAACATAAACAAAGATCAATGCTGAGATCACTTCGGTAAGTCAGAGTCGAAAATGAATAAGAACTCTCCACGCAATCAGGCCACAACATACTTAGAAACAATAACTAAAATGCAGTAATCCACATTGGATTCAAGAAAGTAGATTGCAATGAGATGCGCTTACGCACGGCACGCGGTGACATTGTCTCTGATCGCTCTAATTTATGATTTAGTACACGGAATAATATCATATTGCACATCGTTGAATTCATCTCAGAACCCACTGTTACATTGTAGAAAAAAAGATATATAATTCCATTTAAAAAAATTAACTTGACCTTGATATCTCCCCCATCTACCTAGCTATGAAAATAACATTTATACTACATAATGTGCTCCTTCATACCAACCAACTTTTGTAAAAACATTTTTTTTCTAACTTCAATATTTTACGAGATATTCCACCGTACATATTTAAACGGCACACCCTATATCTAGATATATACACGACTCACAACGGACATTACTCAAGCATTACACGCTAATTTTCACGAAATGTATATGTCAGTTAGTTCATACAAAGATATTTGACACACTTTTTTTATCTGCAATGATTCGTATTTAGGGGGCAAAAATGGCCCATAAAGTTATAAATGAAAATAACATTTTCCTCAATATCACGAAAATTATTCATTTTAGACAAAAATTTGTTACATAAAAGTTGGGTATCTTCTAACAGCAAATTTAACTGTTCAAACGATTTTTCAAAGTATCAATTTCGAAGAAGTATATATTAAAAATTATGAATTTGTTCATGTTTCTCTTTCAAACTGCTATACAGTATTTGTAAAAATTTATTAATCTGAATTTCAGAACAATACCGAATATGAGGATGTTTCGAAATTTTTAATTTCATCCCTCGAATTTAAAATTCTTACACAAGTTTGTCTGTACTTATAAAAAACTTATAAAGTTATATGGTATTTCGCATAGTAATATTATATCCTTTTCTGTTAATCAGCCGTTCGGTGCCAACCTTAGCTAAAAATGGTTTGAATAGTTAATTGTCATTGTACTCACTTACTCAGCGTAGATAATATTACATAAGGATTTTGAATAATTCATAGTAACACGTTGGCTGCCACGTAGTCACCGGTGACCGGGGCTTCCAAATGATTCAAAAACAATTATATCCTAAGACAACTGACGTCGAATAAAAATGTTCAAAAGTGTAAATAACTAGATAACAGTGTAACGTAAGAATTGTGATAGCAAAGAATTAATAGTTGTCCCATTTTATCTTGGCTACAAAGGAATAAGTGATATGTAAAACATTGATATTTTTCGTGGTAGTCAACGTGATAATAGATTTTTACAGATATTGTATAATAATTTCAAAGAAAAACATGAAGGAACTGATAATTTTTAACATATTTCTTTTAGAAATTGATATTTTGAAAGACTAGTTAAATTTTGAAATTTCTAAGCAGTTTTCACCTTCTAAATATAGACCACCGCAGTAAAAAACTAAAGAGTACGTGTCAAACATTTTCCTATAAACTATTTGATACGTACATTTCATTCAAATTGGCGTGGAACACTTGAACGATGTCCCTTGTCAGCCTCATCAGATATTATTAAAGCAAACGTAATTTTGCTTGCACTACATAATACGCTTAGAATTAGCGTTATTTGATTTCTCTGTATACATTCCTTTTCTACTAAAATATTTAAAAGTGTTTCATGTGTCTTACGTCAGTCAGTGTATAAATATGTTAACTCGTGTCAGGATTCTATGTCTTAGAATGTTTAAAAAACGTCTGTATATTTGAAATTGAATATATTAGTCTTCGACAAGACTTTGTTAAAGCGGTGATAAATTCTTTTGGCTGAACGATAGAGATTCACCCATCTGCAAGTGAAAAATATAACCGCCAAACCGTTAATGTAAAATTCATATCATGATTCGTTGGACACCCTATACAGCAACAAGGCCGTTTAAGAGAAAACGGCAAGCCTTACGTTTGCGTGGTAGCCACGGTGTTCTGTGGTTGTACTTGAATTTGAACTCCATCTGCGCCTTGTTGACTGTACGCAACAGTGAGCACTGTCGCTGCACCCTGGGGAAACTGTCCCAAGGAAATTGGAGCCAGGTGATATTTCGGCTGATCACCACTGTTCCCGCTCTGCGACACACTGGGATTAACCACCTGGATTTGGACGGTTTGCTGTTGCTGCGTGCCATCTTTTCCAGGTACGGTAATAGGCAGAGTAATTATCTGCTGCTGTTGATTATTGCCTCCTTGAACAGCGAAACCGTTCGGATCGACCGGCCTCAGATAATGAACGCCGCCCTCGCCACCGGAAAGGACGCCGACCACCTGACCCCCAGTCGGCAGGTTCTGAGCAAACTTAGCGGTCGCAAACTGATGAACCGTGCCCGTCGGTAGCGAGCCTGCCGGAAAGCCGGGAAAGGGTGTGAAATTCATCTTCCACGAGAATTAAATCTGAAAACCAAAAGGAAAATCATGTTGTAAAATTTTCAGAAAACGAATGTGAAATAATAATAATTATTATGTATCGAAGTTGATTCTACAATTATGAAAAATTGATGAAGTCTCGTACGAAACGTGACTGCGAATAACGCGAAAGGAACAACAATAAAAGAGGAGTAGAATATCAAATAGCTTATATCAGGTAGGTAATTAGACACAATTATACGTAATACGCAGTTGCACTCACTTTGACGCACGAGTGCTGCTATTGGGGTGCATCGACCTTCGTAACTTCGAACAGTTTCAACATAGATTCTCGTCTTTCATATAACTTACAGTCATTCTCTAATCCATTAATCTATCTTCGCTGTGTACTGTTCCCGAAGTAAAGCAAGTTCACGACGTTTATACACGGTCATATTGCTAAATGCGGAAAACAAATCATAAATCAATATCTCGATACGATTTTAATGTATATATAGACTATAAATATATACATGTATATATATTTACAGTCGTGCGTGTGAAGAATACGAATGTGAAATCTGTTTTTACTATCATTCTTGGTCTTTCACATTTTAATTTTCAACTGTGAAAATTTGTGCGGCGTTAGTTGCAAGGAATCTACAAAAATTTCTCGAAGAAAATGATCCTACAGACCCAGCCCAATAAAATGATGTATACTTCTAAACGATTACAAATATTTAAGTATGATTAAACCTTCAAAACGAACGATACTTCGGATCTTACGAAATTATTCTATTTCCTTAATTAAAAAGAAAATGAATTGGCATTGTAATCCTTTTTTCCTTTATGATTAGATTTTATCTCGGAGGCTGAGTTCTCAAAGTGGATGGGAAGATATTAGCACTTTATGGGTACATGACTAAAATATGATGATTCGTATTATTCGAGAAAGCTGAAGTATCATTTTTAAGAAATATTGTCTGCATAATTTTCATAATTAAAGTCCAAAAACTGTTTAATTCGACAGTTTTAATTCGAAAAAACGGATTTTGGATTTGTATTTGGAGTACGAAAATCTACAAGAACCAAATCTATCTATTGTATGTTGGAGTAGATAGAAAACATTGAAATATAATGGATAGTGTAATTTTGGAATTATTTTACAATGTCAATATAAAAATTTGTTGAAAGTTTTTTCAAAAGACAATTTTGCGAAAAAACGGAAGAGGAAAGGTATTAAGTAGAAATAAAATTTGTTTGATGTGTGTAAAAAAGCAAGAATACATCCCACTCTTTTATTGCTTGCACGTATTCGTCACGTACAATGGAGAGACCAGTCAACAGGAACAACGCAAATGTCTTCCACACGTACCCGTACCTACATCCCCCTAATAGTATTCAACATGGATTACCCACACGCGTGGCGAGAAAGTTCGTATACAATTTCCGTGAGAAAGTGGGTACATACTCCACGTGCTCGGATAGCCTGGCGTGTATCTCCAAACAAGAGATACCCCGGCACGTAAAGTAGTACATAGTTCTCCATGTGCCGACTACTACAATATATCACAATAAATACATCAAGATCAAGGTTGACCTCGTGAGTGCATCAGCCTTTTATTTACTCAAAAGATACAGACAGAGAGTGTCTTGTCGGGTACTCGACCGGCGCGTTTCCCACTCCCATTACTACCATCACCATCCGCACCACCGGCAGGAGCAGCAGCAGCAGCAGCAGCAACACCGCCACCACCACCGCCGCCACCGCCGCCGCCACCGCCACCACCGCCGCCGCCGCCGCCACCGCCGCCACCACCACCATCACCACCACTACCACCACCGCC